AAATCTTCGCCCGTAAAACCGACTTTACAGGCAACCATTGTTTTTTTAAATATAAAATACTAATAAAAGTGATATTTTATAAGAATGTTTAAAAATCATTGGTAATTAGTTCCAAATTTTTATTTATATGTTCAGGCTGTTATCGTTGTTTCTCTTAGTTTCAAATTAGTTCTATATCCCCCCCTTAATGTAAAAATGAGCAAAAACTATATATATATTTTAAATAAAGTCTTAGGAGCCTTGGTTAGCTCTTAATTACTTAAAATATATTATATTATTTAATATATTATTACTATATACAAATTACTTAATCTGGGTTATCTCTTAATTACTAATTAACACAAAGCAACAACGCGCCATCTATACATATATCTATAATAAAGAGTTCATTTTATTTTTAATAATTTCGCCACACTGATTGGCACGTGTTTTGCTTTATAATTTTTGCTTATGTTTACTTTTTAAAAATATAAGTTTACATTTTAGGTTAGAAGCAATATTTTATCGTTATGGATTCTAAAAAGGAAAATTTATGTTCCGCTCTCCACAGCATTAAAGGTATTAAATTCGGAAGTTACAAAACAAAAACTGGACTTGATACACCCATTTATATGGATTTACGGATGATTGTTACACATCCCAAAATAATGAAAGATGTCGCTCAACACATGTGGGATATTATAGAAACAAATAAAGTAGAATATGATATTATTTGTGGAGTACCCTATACAGCATTGCCTATAGCTACAACCATCTCAACAACCAAAGATGTACCGATGGTAATGACACGTAAAGAAGCCAAAAGTTACGGTACAAAGAAAATGATCGAAGGCGATTATAAAGAAGGTCAGAAATGTCTTATAATTGAAGATGTTGTGACTTCAGGCAGCAGTATTCTTGAAACTGTTGAACATCTTACTAAAGCAGGTTTGAAGGTTACAGACGCCATTGTTGTACTAGACAGAGAACAAGGAGGCGAGCAGAATCTTAAAAATCATGACATCAACCTTCACAGCGTTCTGAAACTTAGCCAAGCAATTGAATATTTAAAAAATAAAGGAATAATTGATAATACTCTGATGTCCCAAATCGACGACTTTTTATCAAAAAATAAAAATGTTCAAATAAAAGAAAAGCCAAAACCAATTGAGATTAAATCATTATCAGAAAGAATTAATTATAGTAAACATCCATTGGTAAAGAAATTATTGAAAATGATGGAAATAAAGAAAAGCAATCTTTGTATTTCTCTTGATGTGACTTCGAGTAAGGAATTACTGCATTTAGCTGATGAACTAGGTCCGTACGTTGTCATGATCAAAATCCATGTCGATATTCTGGAGGATTACACTCCGGACTTAGGACCCGGACTTAAGAAGTTAGCGGAGAAACACAATTTCCTGATATTTGAGGATAGGAAATTATCAGATATCGGAACCATTCTACAACGGCAAGTTACCGGTGGTTGTTATAAAATATTAGATTGGGCGGACATCGTGACTGTTCATCCTATTCCAGGAACTGGGGTGTTGAAAGCGCTCAAACAAGCTATTGGTGAACAAGAAAAAGGTTGTCTAGCTGTAGCAGAAATGAGTTCAGCTGGAGCTTTAACAACAAAAGAATATGCAAATTCAGTAGTTGAAATGGCTAAACAATATCCAGATGTAGTTCTGGGATTTATCTGTCAATCTAAATTGGATCATGATCCAGGATTCCTGAGATGTACTCCTGGTGTCAACATCGGAGAATCTGGAGATGCTCTTGGACAGCAATATGTCTTACCTGAAGAAGCTGTAGCAGAACGTGGCGCAGATATTATTATAGTTGGTCGCGGTATTACAGCGCAAGAGGATAAAGTGGCAATGGCGAAACTCTACCAAAGCAGATGCTATGAAGCCTACATGAACCAAATCTTGTCATAATCATTCCATCTATTCAATATTTCTTTTTTTGTCAAAATTAGAAACTATTTTAGACGCTGATAAGGCACAATTTGGATTATAGATTATAAACACAAGGTAATAAGACCAAATCTAAATAAATAAATAGTGTGTGACGTTTCGGTAACAGCATTGTTACCGAAACGTCACACACTACTTATTTATTTGGATTTGGTCTTATTACCTTGTGTTTATTTTAGACGTGTAAGATTCTTTTTGAAATTAAACAATTTCTACTGCCCCCTTACTGCAATGGAAAATAATTAATGGGAGGGCTTTGCTCATCAGTGGTGAACCCTCCCAGCGGTTTCGCCAGTTTAATCTACCATATTGATGAGCCAGGCACTGCCATTAATTTTTTCATTGCAGTAAGGGCAGTAGAAGTTGTTTAATTTTAAAAAGAATATTACGCATCTGAAATAGTTTCTAATTTTCATAACAGATGGCGGGCTAGTGCATCGTAATATTTCTTTTTGTTTCGATAATGTTATTTCTTATTTGCATATACTTTTATTTTATGAATCTCTTTCGGACCAATAAAATTATATTTTAAAAAATGATTTTGTATGTTGATTTTTTTTTTCAATGGAAATTTTAACCCTGAGGTAGTTAGACCAATACCTACTTTTTATATCAAGTAAAAATAAAAGGTAATAAGATCGATGATAAGGCACAATTTGGATTAGAAACACAAGGTAATAAAGACCAAATCTAAATAAATAAATTGAAGTTTTCAAAACTATTATAGACGAGTATGATTCTTTTTATTTTATTTGTTTTATTTTAAAAAGAATCATACACGTCTATAATAGTTTTTTTTGCTTATCCCTAGTACACGTGGTACAGGCCATGATAATCATGGTGGATATTTAGCGACTGCTTTTTACTGTAAGCTCACCACATATCTACACATCTGAAAAGCAGTTCAACTTTGCACTTACAAATGTGCCAGAGCCCCGTTTGGTTACTTGCACTCGCTGGTGGGGTTGGACTTTTGCAAGAATCGGGGGCCATTGGAGCATTTAAAAAACATTTTTTTTTAAACAGAAAAAAGTGTCCAATGCAGGAATTGAACCCGGTTTAACAGTTTAACCAGCCTTCCATCGACTCCCTCCCTATAATAGTTTTTATTTATTTATGCTTATGAGGTGATACAGCAGCGTCTTTACAATTAGAGAGGAGACAAAATGAAGTGCATAATGTAGCTGCTGTATTGTCCGTGAGGTCAAGAGACGTACGGACCTCTGTGGTGTTGATCTCTTGGCGGAACGACATAGTTTTGAATTTTGGTAACAGATGGCGCGCTAATGCATCAAAATAGAAGTTTTGGTAACAATGTTGTTACCAAAATTTATTCATTTGGATTTGGTCTTATTACTTTGTGTTGTTAGTGAAATTTCACAGACTATTTATTTATTTATTTCTTGTGTTTCTAATCTAGAATCCAAATTTTATCATGTACAGTAGAGTTTCCCATGAGAGAGAAACCATGTCTGATCCTGGACTCTCCTGGAGGTAGCTCTTATCAGATACACTGTCATATCAGTCCAAGTCATAAGGAGTCTTTCACCCAAACCAAGAGTACAGTGGACCCTCGGTTTGCGAGCATAATCCGTTCCAGAGCCATGCTCGTACTCCAAAACGCTCGTAGTGCGAAACTAATTTCTTATTTTTAATAATTGAAACTCGGGCAATTCTTCTTGCTACGAACAATTGCACAGTTTCCCACATTTTACATATTTCCCAAATCTGATCTGAAGGGAGGGATCCCAGTGAATTTTCATCCATCACGATTACGGGCAACCATCACGAGTTGCTCGTAATGCGAAATTTCACTCGTAATCCGAGGTAAAATTTTTAAAAAAATTTTGCTCGTACTGCGAAAAGCTCGTACTCCAAGGTGCTCGTAAACCGAGGGTCCACTGTATCTGATAAGAGACCACTTCTAGGAGAGTCCATGTTTTAAGCTCTGGTCTCTCTCTCCACATGGGAGATTCTACTGTATAATCAAGTTGTACATTATTGACTATTGACTCATCCATTGATGAACTTTACTCATTCCCGGCAGACACCATCAACAAGCTCTACAGACTTGATACCCTGATATGATAGAGTAGAGATAAGAAAGAAGAAGACCAAGTTGTTATTATAAAATAGTTAAAACAATTGAGATTTTAGAAACACATGTAATAAGATGATAAAACACAATTTGGATTATAGATTATAATACAAGAAAATAAGACCTAATCCAAATAATTTAATAGTGTGTGATGTTTCGGCAACAACATTGTCACCATCATCAAACAAAAGAATCTTTTGGTGACAATTGGGATTTTAGAAACACATGTAATAAGATGATAAAGCACAATTTGGATTATAGATTATAATACAAGAAAATAAGACCTAATCCAAATAATTTATTAGTGTGTGTGACGTTTTCGGCAACAACATTGTCACCATTAGATTCTTTTGTCTGATGATGGTGACAATGTTGTTGCCAAATGTCACACACTAAATTATTTAGATTAGGTCTTATTTTCTTTTACATGTAATAAGACTTAATCTCCAGCTTTGCTGGTCCCAAGCCCGGATAAAAAAAGGAGGAGAGGGAGCAGTAACAAGCTTTCTACAAAACTGGGCTTAGCTGGCCTGGTTAATCATACCCTGTAAGGGATACAGGATGTACTCCATGGTGTATGTTCCTCTTGTCAGAGGCGACTATTTCACATTGGAGCTAAGTCAGTGGCCTGCTACTGAGTAGTGCTAACAGTCTTAATGACAAACACATTCTACTTCACCCAGTCATGATGGTTATAAAGAAGACCAAATACATAAATAGTGTGTGATGTTTCGGTAACAGCGTTGTTACCATCATCAGACAAAAGTACTGATGAAAAAAATATCATAGCATTCTTTTAAATAGTTGGTACTCAAGGTATATAATAAGACCAAATAAATATTTGGATAAATCTAAACTATTTATTATATAAACTATTTATTTATTTATTTAAATTTGTGTTCTTATTACTTTGTGTTTCTAACCTATAATACAAGTTGTACCTGGCCTTACCACATTGAAAACACCAGTTCTCGTCCAATCACAAAAGTTAAGCAACGTCAGGCCTGGTCAGTATTTGGGAGGGTGACAAGTTGTACCTTATTATTATGATTGAGAGAAGTAAGATGTATCTGTACTTGTCATTTAGACTGGGAGCACTCCTTAGTAGCAGGCTGATCTATCTTTGCAAACAAGAGTCCAATGGATTAAGAAAACACCTCTCCCTAAAGGATGCTTTGGTTATACATTAGGTGTCCTTTGATCTTCCATGATAGGACACCTCTCTACAAAGGACAGTTTTTATTTGCAAAATTACCATTTTTACTATTTAGTAACTCTCCGGTAAGAGGACACCTCTCTCTAAAGGACACTTTGGCTCTGTAAATAGGTGTTGTCTTTTACAGGGAGGTTTTATTGTTTATAGAGTAGAACCTCCATGAGAGGATACTTCTCTACAAAGGACAGTTTTCATTTGCAAAAATTATCATTTTTTACTATTTAGAAACTCCATTGATGAGCTCTACTCTTCCCCGGCAGACACCATCAAAAGTTTCAAGCTTTATACCTTAGTGTGATTGAGTGGAGATAAGAAAGAAGAAGAAGCAACTCTCAGGTAAGAGGACACCTCTCTCTAAAGGACACTTTGGCTCTGTAAATAGGTGTTGTCCTTTACAGGAAGGTATAGTTCTACTGTATTTATATATTTTAATGAATGCACCCTCAGTAACATCAGACCTCCCCAATTACTGGAGAAGAATATAGAAATTGTCTCACTGACTATAAGATGCCATCTCTTAGAATAACAAAATCCCTATCTGGTGGCTGGTCAAACTGCTTTTCACATGTGATCTGCTTATAGTAAAAGCAGTCGCTAACTTCTACCCACCATGATTATCATGGCCTGTACCATGTGTAGACATGTGGTGCACTTACAGTAAAAGCAGTCGCTAACTTCTACCCACAATGATTATCATGGCCTGTACCATGTGTAGACATGTGGTGCACTTACAGTAAAAGCAGTCGGTAACTTCAACCCACCATGATTATCATAGCCTGTACCATGTATAGACATGTGGTGCACTTACAGTAAAAGCAGTCGCTAACTTTTACCCACCCTGATTATCATGGCCTGTACCATGTATAGACACGTGATGCACTTACAGTAAAAGCAGTCGTTAACTTCTACCCACCATGATTATCATGGCCTGTACCATGTGTAGACATGTGGTGCACTTACAGTAAAAGCAGTCGCTAACTTCTACCCACCATGGTTATCATGGCCTGTATCATGTGTAGACATGTGGTGCACTTACAGTAAAAGCAGTCGCTAACTTCTACCCACCATGATTATCATGGCCTGTACCATGTATAGACAATTTTTTTTGACAATTAAATAATATTTTATTGTCATCTTAGACAACCGGCAAACTCCAAAGAGCTAAGTAGGAAGAGCTACAATTTTTTTCAAAGGCGGTGTCCTCACCGAGGGTCGTCTGGACTCAATCAGGCAATAACTTCCTGAGTTCGGACATACTCTCAAGCATAGAGGGATCGGCGTCCCGAGCGCGCCAGATGGCGGTGCTGATGAATCCACTGAGGATGTACCTATCCCGAGTGGGTAGGCGCTTGATGAAGGGCTCCCTATCCCCGGGGTTCAGGACTGCTCTCACGATGTCATCCATGTCGACTTGCGATTGGAACGTGTGCTCCAAGTCGATTTCACGACTCAATTCGTTAATTAAGTCTCCTGCCATCTTCCAGCGCCTGTTCATAGACAGTGGAGGCGGAGGTGTCGTCATGGCCGGTGTCGTCGTGTCCCCATGGGGGACGGGTGGTATTGGCCCAGCGAGCCGAGGCGCAGGCGGTGGGGGTGCACAGCTCTCCTCCTCCGTTATTGGGTCGTCCTCCTCCATGTCCGTCGGGGCGGGCGGCGGAGGTGTCATCAAAGGAGGTGTCAGTTCCTCCCTGTGGATAGTGGGCAGCATAGGCTCAGCGGGCCGAGGCGCAGGCAGTGGGGGAGTTGGAGGCACTGCAGCTGGTGTTGTCCTCAGCTCAGCTTTGACTTGCCCGAGGACTTTATAGAGGTTGCTGGCTGCTCCGGGCCTCAAGTCCAGGATTTGCCCGATCAGGCCGACGAGGGCGTCGCACTGCGGAGGCGACAGGAGGGGTCCCTTCCTCTGCGCCTTGGTCCTCGAGGGGAGGAGGTCCTGGACCAAGGGCGTCGGTCTTAGCGAAGGACACGTTGGGGTGCCCCTCGATGAACGCATCGAGGTCGACTCTCGTTGCGTTTTTTGCCGATGACGTGAAGGACGCAAGGGTCTCCTCCACGATGGACATCTCCACGTCCGGTGTTGGGTCCGCAGGCTCGCGACTCCCAGGTGTTTGCAGGGACGGAGCAGGGGTCACTGGTGGAGGGGCAGGAGGCGTCTCCTCCATAGGAAAGGCTGGGGCCGCTGGTGGAGATGGCCGAGGTGCGGATGAGTGGAGCGCAGCTCGGGCCATGGGAGGAGCGCTGCAAACCTCCATGGCTGGATTGGAGGGTGTCGGCGCAGGAGGCTGGGCCGCTGACCGCTGAGGCGGTGCAGGGGTGGTCGGTGGTGGGACGCCATCAGGAGTGGTCGGTGGGGCCGTTCTGGTGTAGTTGGCCAGCCCTGCAAGCAGGGGGCAGTTGGCCCTGCGGTGCCCCTGACCGTGGCATCTGGAACACTTGATGCCGGTAGAGAGATAAGCGGGCCAGGCCTCGCCTTTGATGGTGATGTCGAGGCGGGTGGGGAGCCTCTCGGTTGTCATTCCTTCGTGAAGGACGATGAACGCCTCGCGGCGACCGTCGGTGTAGGTGTACGGGCCGGCCTTCATCATTTTGGGCGCGATGGATGTGATGCGCCCAAAGGGCCTAAGGGCGTTGATGATGGCTGAGTCCTCCACGAAGAAGGGGAGGTTGCTCACCGTTATCCTTTCCGCTCTTTTACGTAAAGGAAACGCCCTGAGGAGAGTGCCCTCAACCTCAAGGCCGTTGTTTATGAGGCGCTCGGCGAGGCCCCTGTTGGCCAGTCCCAGGAGTTGGTGGCCGTTTACCTTGGAGATCTGGATAATTCCGGCGGTTCCTCCAAGCAGCCTGTCCAGCGCCCTCAGGTAGTGGAAGGGCTGTAGCTCGGGGCCGTGTTCCAGGTAGACGCAGTGCTCCTCGGAGGAGGACGCCTGCCTCGCCCGGGCCTCTGTGATATGGGTCCTGGTTGTCGGGATCTCCTGTCCCCGGGGTACCGATCGAGCCGATGAATGCAATCGGCGACTGCTCCTGGCGCCACCGCTGTTGGAGGATGGTGCAGCGGCTGTAGGCGAATTTGATGATTCGCGGCGCCTCTTCTTGGTTTTCACGACGGTAAAGTCGTCTTCCGCTCCGGGGCTCAAATCCTCAATGCAGTCCGCCCAGCTTCCCAAGACACGGGCAGCGCCATTGGATGACGTACCGGCCGGCAAGTTGAGCGTGACGTCACGCGCGGCGGCCAGATTTACATCTTTAACGCCTGCCGGCGGATTTGCATAAACTCGATTTTCTGAGTTTTCTTTTAAGATTTTCTGATTTCCGTTTTCGCTTGAAATCCTCCCACCAGTAGGAGCTGGGATGCTGGGCCTTCCAGGCTCTTGTCCAGCAGATCCCGAGCTCCCTGGCGATGCCGAACTCGACATGCCTAAAAGCGTTTTACCGCCGGCCAAAGGCGAAAAACACGGAGCTCGCGCTACGCGTGGCCGCACGGCCGAGTGTAGACATGTGGTGCACTTTCAGTAAAAGCAGTCGCTAACTTTTACCCACCATGATTATCATGGTCTGTACCATGTGTAGACATGTGGTCCGCTTACAGTAAAAGCAGTTGCTAACTTCTACCCACCATGATTATCATGGCCTGTACCATGTGTAGACATGTGGTGCACTTACAGTAAAAGCAGTCGCTAACTTCTACCCAACATGATTATCATGGCCTGTACCATGTGTTGCACTTACAGTAAAAGCAGTCGCTAACTTTTACCCACCATGATTATCATGGCCTGTACCATGTATAGACATGTGGTGCACTTACAGTAAAAGCAGTCGCTAACTTCTACCCACCATGATTATCATGGCCTGTACCATGTGTAGACACGTGGTGCACTTACAGTAAAAGCAGTCGCTAACTTCTACCCACCATGATTATCATGGCCTGTACCATGTATAGACACGTGGTGCACTTACAGTAAAAGCAGTTACTAACTTTTACCCACCATGATTATCATGGCCTGTACCATGTGTAGACACGTGGTGCACTTACAGTAAAAGCAGTCGCTAACTTTTACCCACCATGATTATCATGGCCTGTACCATGTATAGACACGTGGTGCACTTACAGTAAAAGCAGTCGCTAACTTTTACCCACCATGATTATCATGGCCTGTACCATGTGTAGACACGTGACAATTAAACAATTTTTTTATTGTCATCTTAGACAATCGGCAAACTACAAAGAGTTAAGTAACAATGTTCAAAGGCGGTGTCCTCACCGAGGGTCGTCTGGACTCAAGCAGGTAGTAATTTCCTGAGTGCGGACATACATTCGAGTATAGAAGGATCTAATTCCCGAGCGCGCCTGATGGCGGTGCTCATCAATCCACCGAGGGTGTACCTATCCCGAGTGGGTAGGCGCTTGATGAGGGGCTCCCTATCCCCGGGGTATAGGATTGCTCTTATGATGTCATCCACGTCAACCCGCGATTGGAATCGGTTCTCCAAGTCGAGTTCGAATTCACGATCCAATTCATGCATTAGATCTCTTAGCGCCTCCCAGCGCTTGTCCATCAGAGCTCTATCCATTTGGGTGGATAGTGGAGGCGGAGGTGTCGCCATGGCCAGTGTCGTCGAATCCCCATGGGGGACGGGTGGTATTGGCCCAGCGAGCCGAGGCGCAGGCGGTGGGGGTGCACAGCGCTCTTCCTCCGTCATTGGAACGTCCTCCTCCATCTCCGCCGGGGCGGGCAGCGGGGGTGTTCTGAGAGCAGGTGACAGTTGTTTCCCGTGGGAAGTGAGCGGCACCGGCTCAGATGGTCGAGGCGCAGGCAGTGGAGGTGTGGG